ACTGGTGGTGGATGGGAATGGCGTAATAATAAGAAATGTATGTCCGACTGGTGGTGGAGGGGAGTGGCGTTATAAGAAATGTATGTCCGACTGGTGGTGGGGGAGGGGCGTTATAAGTAATGTATGTCCGACTGGTGGTTGTGGGGAGGGGCGTTATAAGTAATGTTTGTCCGACTGGTGGTGGTGGGGAGTGGCGTTCTAAGTAATATATGTCCGACTGGTGGTGGTGGGGAGGGGCGTTATAAGAAATGTATGTCCGACTGGTGGTGGTGGGGAGGGGCGTTATAAGAAATATATGTCCGGCTGGTGGTGGGGACGGGCGTTATAAGTAATGTATGTCCGACTGGTGGTGGTGGTGAGTGGCGTTATAAGTAATATATGTCCTGCTGGTGGTGATGGGGAGGGGCGTTATAAGACTGTGAGGAAGACAGTTTCCAACATATCCGAAAATGTCCGCCCTCACTAGACAGAGTGGCGAAAGGACGGGTTTCCCTTTTGCTCCAAGGATTTAATCTGACCTACATTGTAGTTAATAAACTTATCATATAAGGAAGGACAGGGTCGTTATAATACAATGTAATAATACAATACCTAATGGAGGTTAAGTGTTTTACACTTATAATAGGGGGAAGGTGGTCTTATAGAGATCATTAACGAAATTATTGTGATGTATCAAAAGAACAACGAAAATTACCAGTGTATAAAAAAAAACAAAGAGACAATGAGACAATAAAATATTTGACAAGTCGACAGCGTCTATATGTATCACGCTACGATAACGAAATCACAGATTCTTTAAACATAACAAAATGAAAGGAAATAGCAATGTGGAACCATGCTCATTGGCACCAGGGACTGAACAAACTGCCGTCTGGTGGGAGCTGTAAATAATTCTAATAGCAGCTTCGTGTACATTGTGTCGTTTTTTATAGCTTTGGTTGGTATATCGTTTCTCAACTAAACAGTGAAATGTGTACTATTATAATGCTCATTCAATAACCTCGTCAATGAGATTAGTTCGTTCAGTGATACAGGGTTGTATTAGGTGTCGGTCACGGTTTTATATAATTTAATCATGTAAAGGCACCGTAGTACTTGCCCAGGACATATAATTTGTTTACCAAAGTATTGATCTGTTGAAGGAGAAATTATTAAGATGATTGAATAACAAGATATCTCTCAATTTCTACTCATGTTGGACTTAATAAATCTACTACATTTAGCCTATTTCATTTGTCCATGAATTTGACCTGATTAACATCGATCTAGACGTTAATTGAATCCTTTACAGATTCAGTAAGGGGGGATAACCTTTACACAGGATCCACGCTAAACTTTAAATAAAAGTATTCCAAATTGTTCCATATTTGTAGAATATGAATTGATAAATAATAAATGAATATACATTGCATAATAAGTATTTGAAAAATTCAAAACATGACATTATGGCAATTTTTAGCAGATCAGATTTGTTTTCAATGTTTTGATACTTGCTTTAGGCCTTACACATGTTGTCTGCTACAATATTTTAACCTTCCACTGTCTGAAATTGAAAATCTCCGACAAGACCAAGGGCGTCCACTGAGCGATTTAAATACAGAACTGCTTCCTGACTTCTTCTTGATGCTATGACACAGTTCGAAGCGGGATACGACCGTAGAACACAGTGTCGACATTCTTCTGTGTAGCTGCACGATAATTTTCATAATGTTTAAAATGTATCCACAAAATCAATTATTAAAAATCTAGTTACATAATTTGTATGTTGTTTTGTTTTCGGTGTAACACAAAATCGTATTTTGTCTGAGTAATATTGGTTTTAACGCCAATTATTATACTTGCACAAGATCTAGTACCTGCAGACTTCGATTTGTTAAAAATATTGGAAACAAACCATCTTCATTTAAACAAAGAATACATTGTCTTAACTGAATTATATGCATTGAATCTTGCTTTTGTCGATTTCATGTGTACAAATGTTGAATTTGTCTCAAAGCAACTTGATTTATCACCCAAGGAAAAAAGACAAAAGAAAGATTCAAAGCTGATATATTGACTGTCTATCTAATATACCCTACTGAACTAGAAATCTAAGACATAACAGAGTCTTCTACATGACCAGGTGCAGTCGTTTACCAAACTATATGTTAAGCAATGATCTCAATTTTTATTTTGATGCTAAGAAACGAGTGGATCCGAGTTGTGTCCTTGGACACTGTATCTACTTGTCCTTGGTGACATGCGAGTCCTCCCATAAGATGCCATCTGCTACTACAGGAGACACCGCCTCAAATATACACATATCTACTGTGTTATTATACAAGCGTGGCTTGGTATATATTCCAATAAACAAACTAATTGCAACAGATGCTTTGTTTTATTTAATTAATTTATTTATTCATCTGTTTGATTTTTATGTGGATTGGGGCGTTAATCAGTATTATTAACATAGATAACCATATATAATCAAATTTTGTGAATTTGTTTATACCTGATGTAGGATCAAGAAAATAGGGAAGATCACATTTATTACTACCTCTGGAATGTAATATCTACCTCTACAATAATGTATATATATAGCATTAGCTGTACGACACGACCAGTATACAGTACATATTTGTTACAAAATGTTTCAGCAGAATTATCGAATTTAACAAATATTGAGCTATCAAATGGCTGAACAGTTATTCGAGGTAAGAAATACTGGCTTTTGTTTCGTTTTTTAATGCACATATTACAGTTACTTATCTCAGCTACAATAAAGGTTGATATCAACTTGTAACTTCATAAAATACATTTTATCACATATTCATACATAACAAACTGTACATTCACATACAAAAATATCAACCAGCTAATTTGGCCAATTATGTCGATGTGGTATTCATAAATGTCAAATTTGAACAATGTACCATTTTCTGCAACCTGTAATACAAAAAAGACATTAAACAAATTGCTTACAGTGTTTTATATCTATCTACGTAGGTGCAAGACCTATTGGAAATACTAAGTTCGGTACGTGACTGTACAAATACGTCCTAATTCTGATGGCTAAAACTTCATTTTCTGCAGTATTTCCTGAACACGGACAAAATTGTTCATAATTCTGATTAATAGTTCAAACATCCTTTTTACATGGGTTTTGTTTGATTTACAGATGATTTGACCAGTAAAGCAAGAAGTTAAACATTCATAAAACTTCATCATTTCATTCATTTTTGTGTGTCCTCATTCTCATCACGCACTGTTGAGGGAAAGAAAAAATGTTTATTTAGATATAAAATATAAGTTTAAACTTACTTTCCTTAATCATGGTTTGGTTCTGATTCCGAACGTTTAAGCAATCACGTAAAGCACAGACAATATATTACAATTCTGTTCTGATAAAAAACTGTCATTTTAACGGCTTAGTCAAATATGTATGAGGTGAGTTTTGCACGGTCCTGATGTCATTATTTGTAAATTCCTGAACCAAAACGGCATTTCTGCTAAGAATAATTTGCATAGCAAAAAATTCCAATGCACCATTCAGCATTTGCTGCTGATGTTATTTTCGTGGATGAATTGAAAATAAAAGCAAAAACAAAATAATGATAATAATAAAAAAAAAAAAAAAACAACCCCCCCCCCCCAAAAAAAAAACAAAAACAAAAACCCAAAAGTTGAATTTGGACTTTGAAACAGTTTCTTATCATCCCCGCAGGCCAACATTGCACAGTCATAAACTCTCAAATGTGGAAGTAAAACATATAATTTTATAACTGTAATACACAAATATTGTTTAAACCATTTCTATAAACCCAGTAGTGTTATTATTATTGATTAATTTTATATCCTGTTTCACAAAAACAAAAACAAAAAGCAAAAAAGCTAATTCATCAACGTTAGAATGCTTTTTAGCAATATTCATGGTTTTGATGTTTTGTCAGAATGATGTTTTATTATTGAAGTTTTAAGCAAATCTGGATCTGTTACACTGATTGTTCTGACTTGACAGGCAATTCTTCTATCCAGTGTTACACAAATGTTTTTATGTAATCATCGAAGTTGGTCCAGTGAGCAATTATCCTTAATTCCTTGATCCAATTTTGGGGGTTGGGGATGGGGGAATCCCTACGGTAGATAGATTTTTGGGATCTGTAATCCGTATGAAAAAGAAAAAAATATTAACTAAAAATTAAATTCTATCCCAATTAGTGTGATGTCAAAATGACTGGAGTAATATACACGCATTCTACACCGTTATAAGGGTTAATTATATTCAGTCATCACGTGATAACTAACGTCCTATCAGAGGAGATGTATGATAATTTAATTTTCATATAGAGATGCATTCAGTCTCTGAGTTTATATACAGTTAAACACCTGTAACATACAGATCGTGTCGTTTCATTTCTGAAAATATCACAATCTTTTCTGCTTCGGCTTTGTTTATTGGTTTTGTTCGATTTCTAACTTGCACGTATCATAAAGTTACAAATGTAATAAAACCCGATTTGATCAGCAATTCTACAGTAGAACACTGTATGTGTACCGAAAATTTTATGTGCAATAAAATACTGGAGGTATATCAAAACCGGTATAGGAAATCTAAATGGGAATCAAATATATAATATTGTTTACAAACATCACATAAGCAATGAAACTCTCTTAGACACAAGTAGATACATATCGTTTTCATTTGGATATTACTCTAACGCGAAAAAGTTTTTAAACATCCCTTTTCATGTTTTCTAATGTCCAAAATCAATAAAAAAAATCTGTTGATTTATTTCATTAGCCGACATTCATCGCGCTTCTAGGATGACCCTGTCGACGCGTCAAATGGCTGCGCCTCAGTGCGTCTTAAGATATTGCCAGTGTGAATGTATTCTTTTTCTCGGTTAGAAAAAAAATCTTTGCATTAAAATGCTGCTTCCCCTTTCTCTGTTTCCCTCCAACACCGCCAGATGGCGCTGATCAATACATACAGAGCCATGCGTACAGCAGTGAACTCTTGCATACTTTCGTAAATGGAGTATACATATTATCAGACTGTTGATTGTAACAGCCGGTAGCACGCGCGAGAGAGAGCGAGAGCAACACGGCATACTTAGAGGCCTATCGTACAACAGAAGAAATCAATCTAATGTGAATAGACAGCAGACCTAATGTTCACCGAAACTTCTGACAAATGGCAACTTCATGATTTGACTGAAAAGTGTACGGTAGTGAGATTGAACTATTAAGAGGGAGCAATATGTTGTGGCTATACGCGATCGGGTGTTGGCTATTGGCCTTTTTCATACCTACCTGGGGTAGTGACGATGCCAAAAGACTATACCACGACCTCCTGGTGGAGAGACACTATAACAAACTTATAAGACCAGTCAGCAACAGTTCGGACAAACTTGTTGTGAAGATGGGCATACGACTGTCCCAGCTGATAGACGTGGTAAGTATAAATGTATATAGGGTATGGAAGTGTGGGGCGCTGTTACATCACCACCATATGTTTACACTAGCTCTCAGGTAGGCTCTCGCACGTGATACTGATACTAGGCAATGATATCTTGGTATATGCGCACGACTTACACAACACACGTATCACATGTCGATATAAACACATATTGTATACTTATAGGCTTTGTACGCATTTCTTGGTGGAATTTAAATGTTACATAGATCCACTTGTGTGTTTTGTTCATTCAGTAATAATAAAACACACACCTGATTATCTTTAGTACTCTTGCCCTGATCTAGATGGCGCCACTGACAAGACAATGCCCCTTCGTTTCATAATAGATAATCTCACTTTCAATTTACCTATACAATACACAACACACATATAAATGGTTTTGAAACAGAAATATCTCTAGGGCAAATGATGAAGTAACCTAAGTTATTAAGTTGGTTTAAGTTATCCGACAGAAAAGCCTGGTACAATATTTGTGTAAGCTTGGTAATTCCGTTGCGTCTTCAGTTACGCTGTTCCTGAGACACTGTAAGGAATAATGGAGAGCTGATCAAATTACGTAGAATTGTGTGCTGTGAGGTTAAGTTTGGCATTTAAACAAAATACTCTGAATGTCACGATGATTTGTTTGCTTCGACTGGTTAAAGATATGTCCAAATATGTCCATCAAATGAACCGGTGGTCCTAAACCCTTGTCTCCCTATACCTATCTCTATTCTCTATTCAAGTCCCGGCGCGTTTTCAAATTACATTAAAGTCGCAGGTCCAAGCGTCTCCTCGGCCCTTTCTCAGACTGGCACCAACGTCTCTCAGCCCCCTTCTTCCACTGGCGTTAGCATCTGGCAAGTCCGCTCCTTCCATTGACCCTTACGTCCTCAAGACACCTTCTCCCACTGACCCAGACGTCTCTCATTCCTCTTCCTCCACTAGACCCAATATCTCACAGTCCCTTTCTTACGCTAGCCATGGCGTCTACCTATCTCAGTCTCCCACTGACATCAACGTCTCAAGATCTCTTTCTCACTCTGGCCCATTCCTCGTACCCCGTTTGCCTCGAAATCTTCCTATCCAGCTCTCCCTTTGGTCCTGTTCCCGGACACATTTTCCACACTGTCTCAGACCTTCTCCATTGCACATTTCCTGTGTCATGTCCCCGCCCTTACGACTTCCTAATCTCTTCCTGTCCTGTCTCCGACATCTCCCTATCTCCTTGCCCCAGAACACCCGACCCTTGTTTATCCTCCTTTCTCCCTCTAGCTATCCAATGGTTCCTAATGACCTTCTGTTTTAGACACAGACATCTATCACCCTTTTATCACAAACAACATACGAATGGAGTAAAGACGGTCGTGAAACGTAGAGTTTCTCTTAGATATTTAAATTATAGCGACATATCGGAAGTTTCTTCATTGATTTAATATCATATCGATAATCATCTTCATTGGGTTAATTTACCGCACACATGGCCAGGATAAGTACATGTTTTCTATGTGAAAACTAGCCTATAATTGGCTTAGTTTACAAGTGGTCAAATATTTTGGTCGCCATTTTTGGTATTGACTGGACTCTAAGGCATGCGCATGCGTAAGTGAAAACAATGTCCATACAATAAAGACATTTCCCTGGTTTATCATTTGATTTCTTTTTTTCATTTAAATCATACCATGAATCGAATGAAAAGGAAATTGAAACTGGACTTACAGAAGACAAGATACATTGTATCCTGGAGTACATTCACTTTGCTTGCAGTAAACTGGTGATTTACAGACAGATTTTGAATCTGGAACAAAAAGATGTTTCCTTTGAATGCAATTTCATCTTCAATTTCAAAATTCCATTATCTCAAAGTCATTGCATGTATCGCATTGTTTAGAAAAACTTCTTTGTTTTTTGGGGGGCAGGGTATCTTTATCGAAATTACTTCGAAGTCAAACTCTATCTACTGACCTTAGAATGTATCTTTGTTTAAGAATTGCCGATTACATGTAGGAGACAATATAATTCAGACGAACACTATACTGATGGGTCTCGTGTCCGGTGGCAATAAAAACTCCAGGTTAAGACACGTTTCTGATTTGAATTCGATAATACACTGACATGAATACAAATAATTCAATAAGATTATCTAGTCCAGCGTATAGCTTTCTAGAGGCCCTGTTTGTATTGGAGATGTTGAATATACAGTAAATTGAACTATTGTTTTGATTTTTACAAGTTATAAAAACTTATATTAATCACTTTGTCCTGATGAAAGCGAACGAGAGATCTATTGTGAAGGGAAACATGAGTTCCCGGGGAAAAATCACGAAAAATCACGTAGTCCAGCAGATGGCCCAATAACTTTCCTGTCTTTTCGGGGAATCGAACCCTGGACGTCGAGGTGATACAATAGACTCTATGTCACGTCTGCTGAGCTATACATTTTTCTAATTCAAAAGTTATATTTGAGGAACGGGTTTACAGTATCTTGTTAACAATAGGGAACATTATTGCAGAGACCAGCGGCACAGAGAGGACAAGGAAGATGATAACAACATAACTGATAAACATTATAACTTTTAAAAATCTATAAAATGTGATGCACTTTTTAATGGTCTTATTTTAAGAATAACAACGTTTTTAATCCCTTTAAATCATACTTACATGTAGGTAATTTATTAATAGTTTGTGTAATTAGTTTTTTTCCCCAAAAAAATCCCAAAACATTCTTATGTCTTTCTGTTCACCAGAAAGTAAATCTAGCCTGGTCTCTATTTTCCCCCAAACTCAACAAATTAATTTTCTGTGTGCTGTCTCACAACTTCAATATTTGGCAATAATCACTAAATAAGTTAAAGGATGTCTGTAAATCTAGAGTAGATTTAAATAAATTTTTAGTGTCATATACACACAAGAGAATGTATATATTGTACAATTAAAAAACACCAATATTTTCAGAGAATATTTCCTACCTTTACACACTTTTGTATCAAGAAGAATAAAATAAACCCTTACCAATAAAGAAATCATGTAAACAAGACTAGATACTATGGACATGAAAATTTTAGATCCACAAAAAATGTGTCAAAACACTGTCTGGTATACTATTTAATTTAGGATTGTTCAGAAAAATTGTGCGAAACACACAAGTCAATAGTGCCTTTAAGTACAAAATACTTAGATACAGTTGCCAAATTGCATCATACAGCTATTTCGTCCTTCCAAAGATGACGACTGATCGAGAAGAACTGCACTAACCTCAAAGCTAAGCCAAAATGATCATAATATTCAATATTGACCAAAAATAACGCTAAATACAAGTGTATGAATAAAAACATTCAGGTTACAACAAACCTCGGGGACTAAACATCCACTAAGCAGTGTTTACCACATGCAAGAGATATTGAGGATGTCTCAAAATTTCCCGTTTAGATCATATATATTTCACGTGCATGATATGATATCTATTTTTCACTGTTGCGAGGCACTTTCTTTGACGTCAGATAGTTTGATCATGAGCTTTACAACAACACGTCATTTGAATTGCCCACCATACACTTACAACCATTATGATACATTAATTCAGGATTGGATGAAAGTGTATTTGTTTAATAAGAATAATAAAAACCTATTGCCGGGGATGTTGTTTCACAACTTTATATGCAATCAACGTAACAATCGGGTACAAATTGTATGTTATGGGAGGGTTTTACTGTACTACTTCTGCCTGTAATATCTGTTTTACAGATAAAACAAAATATCACAGTTTCAATATGGATGGTGGTTTCTTAGCCCACAAATACGATTTTTAAACATTTCTTTAGAGGTAGTTTGATAACGTCTAATACAATATGATGAAAACGAATTCATTTCATTATCAGACAGATTAATACAATATAATAAACTGATTGAAATTGATATCTAATTAACAGATTATATCCTTTGAGACGTGATCGAAAGCCATACATTTATTTCATTTTCACCCTAGCGGCAATACGAAGGGGCTGAAGTAAGCAACGTATTCGTGATTGCAGATTGGGATTCGAAAAACGCATCTGATTGAACATTCTAATAACGAATCCGCTGGGTAGGAGGATGGAGACTCGGATGATAATTATGGTTATTTCTTTCATGCAGTTTACTTTATACCAGCAATACAGTTTGGGGATTCGAATAACGAATGCATTTCCAGCATCGGGTTGGAGATCGCATCCGTTACTAACTTCAGCACAATACAGAATCCAGAAAGCCACAGAAATCAAATTTCCGTAAGTGCTACCAAGAAATATGCAAAATGCTATGCAGAAAAAAATGTGATGTAATTCTACGCATTTAAACCTTGCATAAGGTTTTTGTCTTGTCTTGGGTGTGCTACGTTCCGTTTACGTTAAACTGTGTTAGATTTCATACCGAAGATAAATTTTAAAGTTCCGAAAAGATGTCATCTAGTTTTCCTTAAATTATGTACTTGTAACAGATTATAGATAACTTTGAAAGCAGTTGTACTGGAAATGGTTTCCACACTACATCAACACCGCTTAGAAGTCAAACGGAAAACAGGTTCGGAGCGTAAGAAAGCATCTCTGCTATTAATATGTGGAATCTCACAAATCATCATAGTAGTTGTGATACATTTTAAACCACAGTGTGTCGACTGCAAACAGAATCATAATAATAGAATGGTCTTGGAGATGGGGTGGGGGAGGGGCGTTTTCAGATTAACACTTCCGGATTGATCACTCTTGCGTGAAAATATTCGAGTGTAATTGTATTTTATTTGTGTGTAATTCTATTTATTCTTATGATTGCCTGTTGCGTTACTCCGAATTAAGATGGTTACGGTGTGTTACAGTCCGTATTAGTGTACACTCATCTCGCTTTTAAGGGTCGTTGGCTTCATAACTTAATAGTGTTGTAAACGGTAATAAATAATAATATAACGGTAATAATAAAAGTGTGATTTTTTACTTCACCAACAAGAAAAACAAATATGATATGAT